CCCAGGAGTTGGAGGTTGCTGTGAGCGTGATGCCACGGCACTCTACCCAGGGGGACAGCTTGAGGCTCCGTCTCAAAAAAAAAAAAAAAAAAAAGATTTCTTTTTTTTTCAGATGCCTCACAACTAGAAAGAAAAAGAAATGGCTCCACTCACTTCTTTTTCTAGCGGGACAGAACAGAGATCTTTATTAATGGGAAATTCTTTCCGGTCATTGATTGCGTCTCCTGGGTTTACCTGGCACTTGATAAGAATGTGATCAGCATCCAGGAGGTAGAACTTGGGCCGCCTTAAATTTGTTTCTTTTCTTGTGAAATTGTTTGTGAAAACCCGACAATCGAGCTTTATTCCCACCCCAAATTAAAAACAAAAAAAGAAATTAGGGGAAAAAAAAAAAGCCAGTCCTGTGACAGAAACAGCTTGCTAATGGTTTAAGAGCAGGAAAGAAAAGTCCACTTTACAATAAAAGAAAATTTTATTTTAGTCCTTGAATTACAAATTGCTATAGGAAGAGCATTATAAGAGAAATTCTGAAAATATTCTTAACAAGAAAATGTGATTGGAAGACATTCCATAACCAGATTGAGGGAGTTCTAAGAAGCTTGTTTACCAACGTCTTTGTGTACAAAAAGAAATTTCCTGAGTTTCCAAGTCAACCACATGAAACACAAAATAGCTTTTAAGGAAACATACATAAAAGTGTAATGGGACCTTCCACTGAGATTTGAGGTTTTAAACTATGTTAGGGGAAAGCAATGCATTTTCTACTGATAGATTCACTTCTCCCAACACAGATTTCCTTTCTAATTTTTAAATGACAGGTTATTAAAATGGGGATATATTTCCCAAGTTTTCTCAGTGTGAAATAGTGAAGTGAATTGCATTATAGTTATTTATTACTGCCAATTTCAAACCAAATATAGGGAAAGATCCATGCCTCATTCCCCATCCTTATACAGTTCCTGAGATTGCAATTGTCATAATGTGACTATCTCGTGGACTCTATCAGGGAATTCAAAGAGACCAAAGATAACTGGTCTCTGGTCCTTTTTCTGCCCTTACGTCAGCCACTGCAAGTGTTGGGCTGCTGAGCTTGCTCAAGTATTTGCCCTCACTAGTTTCCTATGTGATAATGGCGACACTGGAGGAGCCAGGAGGCAGGCTTCATATCTGAGCCACGTTGTAAGATGTCTTAATAGTACTCTGTCCTGGGAGTCTTGAGGAACCATCTTTTATTGCCCTAGAATATAGCCCCACAGACAGGTTATCTCCTCCACCCTTTGATAGATATATTTCAAGGTCTTAGAGTTAAATCCTATCCTAAAGAATTTCCTAATGCAGCAACTCCAAAAAGTTACCCCATGAACATCATAAGCTGATTTTTACTTATAGGAAGGACTTGTTTCTTCCTTTTTAGGATCTTCATGGGTCTCCCCTTCCTCACCACAAACAATGTTATTGCTGTCTTCAAAGTTATGCAAACAAGAAAAGTATGGCAGGGGATTAAAAAGAAGTTTATCACAAAAATGTACATATAGCTCATGGGAGAGCGTGCATGTTTTAAATAAAATTCTGCTCAGAGCACGACTATAACTGTATGTAGAGTATTCCATTTCTCCCTTAAAGAGATATTAACTGAGTTTCAAGTAGGTATCTTCCCTAAGGGCACTAGTCATTTCAAACCTACATTCTTTCCATCCAGTACTGGGGCACATCATACCTCTCTGGACTGAAAAAAATCACAAAATTGCTTTTTATAAAGTCTTTGCTTTTGCCTAATACAATTTATTTATGGGAAGAGATTTTTCCTCTGTCATTATCCTCTTTGATTTAAAAAAATCATATTTTCATGTTTATTTTGAAACAGAGCCCCAAGCTGTCACCCTGGGTAGAGTGCTGTGGCATCACAGCTCACAGCAAACTCCAACTCCTGGGCTGAAGCTACTCTCCTGCCTCTGCCTCCCAAGTAGCTGGGACCACAGGCGCCCACCACAATGCCCAGCTATTTTTTGGTTGCAGCCATCATTGTTGTTTGGCAGGTCCAGGCTGGATTTGAACCCACCACCTTAGGTGTATGTGGCTGGTGCCTTAGCTGCTTGAGCCACAGGCGCTGAGCCTGCATTTTCATGTTTTTATTTTCCCTCTCCATTCTTGCCTGTCAGGCCGGCAGACACACGTGTACTCCTGATCTGTAAAAGAGTGTGTTTGGCATTGAACAACCTCTAAAGCTCCTTTTCTTTGGGGATGTTCAGCTTCCTGGAGTAGTGAGTCCTATGGATTCCCGATTTGTTTTGTAACTTTTACTTTCTCCAAATCCTCAGTAAAACACAACTCTGCTCTTCCACACATGATGATTGTTTTTAAAGAATAGAACTGGCTCGGCGCCTATAGCTCAACCGGCTAAGGCGCCAGCCACGTACACCTAAGGTGGCGGGTTCGAATCCCCAGCCCGGACCCGCCAAACAACAATGACGGCTGCAACCAAAAAATAGCCGGGCATTGCGGCGGGCGCCTGTGGTCCCAGCTACTTGGGAGGCGGAGGCAGGAGACTCGCTTGAGCCCAGGAGTTGGAGGTTGCTGTGAGCTGTAATGCCACGGCACTCTGCCCAGGGGGACAGCTTGAGGCTCTGTCTCAAAAAAAAAAAAAAAAAAAAGAATAGAACTAATTTTTAGAGATTTTTAAAAAGATGCTTTACCGCCTATCTCAAGAAATTTTTAGATCCCTGGATATTTTTCTTTTTCTTTCTTTTCTTTTTTTTTATTGTTGAGGATTCATTGAGGGTACAAGAAACCAAGTTACATCGATCTCTGGGATGTTCTTCAAACTTTGGACATTATTACCTTGTTGCTTTAGCCACAGTGTCCCACCTTCCCATGTGACGATTCGATAATTCAAATGAAAGAGAGACAAGAAAATCATAAATCAGATCTGTGGAGCAGGCAGGGGAGGTGGGGAGCTGTTAAAGTGGAGGGAGAGGACAATTCACAGTAGGCGGTAAATAGATTCTTTTTCTCTCTCTCTTCTTGTCTTTTGGGGCTCATCGAAAATGGATCAGTTTAAAGCTTTATTTTAAGAAGATTTTGTTTAGCTATAAGGATTATGCAAACCCATCCCGAAGGGAATAGTGGGATCCTTGTTTTTGGAATCTGAGTTGGAATGCCTTCTGGGATGCAAAACTAGCACTCACTGCCTGAGCCCGATGCCCAGCCCTGCTGGAACTCTTAGATTTGGATATTTATTCAATTGCCTGATTACCTTTGAGGAAGAGTTGCTCTGCAGTTAGCCTGGAGCCTTAGAGGCGGGCTAGGTTCTCATTTCTTCCCACTCTTGTTTTCATTTTCCCACTTTAATCTTCATAGGCTTCCAACTTCCTAAAATAAAACAGGACTATTATGGAAGTTTTATACAACTGGGGGACCCTGCATTTAAATACTTTGTAAGTCAGTGTGTTTTGGGGGTGCTTTTCACCCAAGCAGTAGATTTCTTCTGCAGTCGCTTCCAGACCTGCCAGAGAATTGTACAACCTTGAGAAAACTCCTGTCCTCTCTTGTGTGGCAGTTTTCCAGCTGCAAAATTAATTACCCACTTACTTCCATCACGCGGTGTGGTAAGGGTCAGTGATCTTGAGTTTAGGAAACACTTCACCGTGCTGATCTGAATGCTGTTCTGTTATCACAGGTTTGTTGTTTTTCTTAAGTTGTCTTGCTTTCCAGGGTTACTTACGAAACTGAACTTTTTAGAACGTGTTTATATTTCAGGCTTATCTTTCCTTTTCACGCTGCTTGTCTATGAAATGTTAGTTTAGAGAAGAAATAAAAGGATAGGTAACGGAGATAGTTCCTTGGAGAATCGTTGACAGTTTACTCACTTGGTTCCTAGTAGGCACCAGGCACTGTTTCAGGTGCTGGGGAGTAGGCTGAGGAATTGATTCTTCTCAAAGCTCACCACTGAAAGCAGGTGACTGAACTAATGAACATATAGTGGGGGGGGGGGGAATAAAGCGCCAGGGAAGATCCGGGAAGGAGGAATTATTTCTAACTACCAGAGGATGGTCAAGACAAGAAGAGGAACTTTCTTGAGAAGGACACTATACAGGCTCAGAGGTCTCCAAATACATGGGAAAAAACCTTAATTTGGATTCATTTAACATTTTGAAAATCATAAGTAAATGTCTATTTAAAATCAGATGTGAAATTTCCAGATATAATAAATGATGAAATATTTTTTCTACACAAACTTGTATAACTTCTTCCTCTTTCTGTCCCTTCTTTGAAATTCTCATCTGATTTTATCACGGGCGACATGGTGTAATCTCAACCTCTTTTTTCCTTCTTCCTCCAGTCCCTTCTTCTTCCTTTCCCTCCCTTCAACCTCCCTCTTTTATCTTTCTGAAACTACAGTCAGATTTTATCAGTGGGCATGATGTAATATCTCTGTCACTTTGAATCGAGGCTCCCGTCTTCTGGACAGCTCTTGAACAAATTTCCAGAGAAGTAAAAAATGGGACTTTCAAGTTATTCTTTCAGCTATAGGCTATGACCTGGTCCTCTCTGCATTTTAACCTCCTCCCCATCTGCCTGTTTATTTTAGGTAATGGGACTCCTGACCAACCACGGTGGGGTACCCCACCAGCCCCAGACTGATTATGCGCTGTCCCCTCTCACTGGGGGCCTGGAACCTACCACCACGGTGTCGGCCAGCTGCAGTCAGAGACTAGATCACATGAAGAACTTGGACAGCCTGCCAACATCTCAATCCTATTGTCCACCCACTTATAGCACCACGGGCTACAGTATGGACCCTGTCACGGGCTACCAGTATGGACAGTATGGACAAAGTAAGCCTTGGACTTTCTAGGGTGCAATTATTCCCGGAAGGGAGAGAAACTCAACTCTTGCTTAAAAATGGGCGGTGAGAGGCATGATTCTGCCTCACATCCCAGTATCAATTTTGTGGCAAAGCCAGCTGATTGTTCCAGCGAGGGCTCCTTGGTATAATTATTTTCTTAACTGATGTCAACAACATCTTGTGGTTATTAATTGCTGAGACGTGAAACCTGATTGCCACTAGGTAAAACACAAAGGTTGGCCAAAATGAAATAATCCCCAGCATTAGAAACACATGTTCTTAATGAGGTCAGCTCAAGGATCATATGGGGTATAATCCCAGGGACACAGAGTTGTGTCAAACTTGTCTCAGGAATAAAAATATTAGTTTGAATCCTTTGATACCATGGTATTAAATATGACATTGTCAGCCTGTAGCTGATATTGCCCCTGACTGTGCATTGTCCCGGCGTGACCTAAAAAGCTGTGTGTGTTTCCCTTACAGGTGCCTTTCATTATCTCAAGCCAGATATCGCATAAGAGAACTGTCCACTGGGAGCTCAAACTGGCCCCGTTTTCTGGTGTCCCCAGCCTAGACATGAAGAATCTTCTCAGAAAAAACCAATTACCCTTTTTTGTGGGGTGGGGGGGGCCCTGACAGGAGACAAAAGAGAGTGATTGATTTTTTTTTCTCCAGTAGTTGGTTTCAAAGTTATTTGAACTTGTTGGACAAAAGCAATGAAGCAGAGGAAGAGCTGGAACAAGACAAGACAAAGGCAGCCTTTGAAGGCAACCGTTTAACACGGCCACAGAGCAGAGTATCCCAGATCTTTAGTGCTGATGATCAAGGAGCTAAAACATTCCATTTATGTGTGTGTGTGTGTGTGTGTGTGTGTGTGTGTGCACGTGCATTTGCACGTGTATCTGAGATTTTTCTGGATGGTTTGGGCAAGCAGAATGTTCTAAAATACATCAGGAGAATGCGCTGAAGTGTAACATGTCTGACGTCCAACGCTGGCGTTTCTACAAGTTCAAAACTGCTCACTTCTTGAAGCAGGCACAGAGAAATCCTTCACTTTTACACACTGGAAATTGATATAAAAATGCCACCATTTTTAGGAAACTAGTCTAGATGTAAAGGACCCCCTAAATAAATTATTTGTTAAGGTGTCCTCCTTTGTAATCTAGTTGTCAATAAATGTCCCCGATGCATCTTGCTAACAGGATATGGGGATAACAGGAAGAAGAGGCTGTTTTCCGGTGTGGGGAAAGGTGTGTGATATTTTCCTAATTCATCTTCGTTTGGAAGGCCCTGGGGGTGGGGGAGGAGGTGACACGCATTCACATATCTGCTTATCAGTGTGCGGCTCTGTATACCTCATGATGCTTTGGCAAGACCCAAGGCGATATGAACAGAATCTGAAATCTATTTTTGCACGTGCTTTTATTTTCGCAGCCCATAATTCATGGTGGTAGAGGGCAGCGACGTTCACCTTCTGCCGGACAACCGACACCTGGCTTGCTCTTTTAGATTAGAGACCATGTTGAGTAAGATAATGCTTTTTAAACGATTACGTTTACATTCTTCTCTTTTCTATGAAAGGCAGGGCCAGAACAGAAATGTTCCTATGGCTCTCATGTACTTTTAAATTATACAATATCCAATATTAAGAGATTATACAAACTGAGGTTTACATACGTTTGTGTGGTGACATTTTCGAATGTCAATAAATTTTTTTTTTTATTTGCAATGTTAAGAGGGACAGGAAGGTGGAAGGCAGTGTTATTTATTTCTTTCTATTCTTGGAACCATGAATGAGGTAGGCACAAATACATTCCTTTTAGAATTAAGAACTATGACATAGTGAGTTAGTGAGACTAGACATAGGCCTGAGTTAATTCATACATTGGTCTTAGAGGGTGATGGAACAGAAGAAGTACTATCTTTGTGTTGCAGCCTCAACCAACAATGATGTGTTGTAAAAATGTCTTTCATGTAAAAAGTGCAGTAAATATTTACTATTTATAATGAATAAACAGTTATGAAAACTTGCCCAACACTGCTTTTTTGGGGGGAATTGGTGAATGCAGTATAAATAAAATCTTGGCAGCAGGGGAGCCCAACAAAAACCAGACACCTCACTTCTAATGGTTCCTTTTAGATTAGAACATACCATAGACACAAAGGTTACATGACCCACGATTGTATTCTCTTGGAGAAACTCTTATTAAACACACTGCTAGGGATTGAAGTTTACGTGTCTGTAAGTGTGGCATCTAGAATAAGCCTCCAGGCTACCTGCCTTCCTCTGTGATTCTCTCAGAGCTGCCAAATCCCTCCCTGTCGTGTGGAGGTGTTTTCCCCAGAATATCAGGCTCCGTCTTCATCTCTAGAGGTCATGGCCACTGAAATTTGTATTTAAAGCTCTCATTTCATGCTAGCAGCTTACTGTGCCTACTTTATTCTTCCTTCCTCCCTTCCTTGTCCCTCCTTCTCTCCGTCTCTCCTCTTCTTCCCTCCTTTCTTCCCACACTTACTCAACGGTAGTCTAATAGCACGGTGCTTGGTGCTGGTGAAATAGCCATGCTTATAACCTGGTAGGGACACAGAGAAGCTAGTACATGGTCTTGATAAAGCGTGCGGACTGTTACTTTAGGGGAAATAATCATGATACCCTTTGACGTTCTTGTTTGTACTAACTTAGTCATCCCTCCCCCTTCTCCTATGGGGCAGGTGATGTCATCAGCCTTCTTCTTTTACAGAAATGTAAGACCAGAGCACAGGGACTGGAATGGGGATCACCCAGTGGCAGAGCAGGGGTTTGAGCCCAGGACATCCAGTTCCAGATGGAGGTGCTTAAACTCATGTTCTCTTGCGTCCTCAAGTTAGGAATAGTGTGAGAGGACCTTATGGCTGGGAAGAGCTAAATGGATGTTGTTCAATTCAGAAGCGACTAGCCATGTGTGCCTGTTTAAAGCAATTAAAAGTAAATAAAATCACAAAGTTAGTTCCCCAGTTGCACCGCCCATATTTCAAGTGTATGTTAGCCATACGGGGCCTGAAGCACTGGCAGTGTTGCTCTAGAACTGCGCCGTCATCACAGAAAGTTCCATTGGCCAGATCAGCTGAAACCAAGTGAGTTCATTTTCTAACGATCCCAAGGAGTTGAAGTGCAGCAAGAAAATGTTCCAAATTTTTAAAATGTTTTTTTTTTTGTGTTGAGCTCACATACTAGTCCTTCTGATCAAATATGCTTCTCTTTTTCTGACAATCAACTATTCCAAAAATAATATAAAAAGAGAATAGGAAGATAATCCTTACTGAACACTTCTGTTAAATCCTCACAAAGTCCTGTGAAGTGGGTTTACTGATGAGTGGACTGAGACACGGAGTTGTTAAGCATCTGGGCAAAGGACACATATAGCCAGTAAGAACAGAAGCAGGCTTGGACTTCTGCTCAGCCTGGTGGCAGAACCTGTTTCATTTTACTTCTCCAAATGCTGCTCCCAATACCCACTTTATTATGTCAACTTATCCTTATGCCAAACTCAAGTTGAAAACAGGCTTTAAAAGAAAGCAATCGCCCACTCTCAGGACACAAGGGAATGCTACCACCAGCATTTGGGTTACACAACAGAAACTAATCTTACATTATCATTGTGCTTTCTGTGTCCTGATCTCAGAACTTGCCCTGTGTGGCTCATGTCTTCTTTGGATATTCTTTTTTATGTCCTTCCCTTATTTCTGCATGTCTCTGAAATCTATCGCTCAACTAGTATTTTTCATGTTGAAAGTCTTTGCAGATCTTTCTTTCTCCTGATTCTTTTACAACATAAATCTAATTAATCTATAGGAAAATGAGGACCTGACGTCTTCCAGTCAGGGTCCCTACTCTCAACTGCTGGGACTAGGAACTCTAAAGACTTTGAACCTTTTGTATCTGATTATGTGTGGGCAGTCACCCCTTGTCCATATAGTTATTTAATTTTATTTGGAAAATGTGAAAGTCAAAACTTAAAACCAGGACTCAAAATTATTAAAATGTGGCTGTGCTATTATCAGCGGCTAAGTCATTCCTTGCCAGCAGTTTTCCTGGGAATAGATGTCATCTTTCACATCTGTGATGGAAACAGATATGTTGTTTTATGTCTTTAATTTAGACTGATCTGGAAATGTATTTCTGATACTGGAGAACATCTTTACCAATGCTGGCATATAGGACCAGAATCATAGACAAGGTCATTGGCTCATGGTCATGAGTTTAGGAAGTCGTGAGTAAATGGAAGAGAAGGATTAATTAATGCCCTTTGAGCATGGCATGGAAGAACTTGTCTCAAACTACATAATTCAGAGTTAAATTAGCACATGGGACTAGAACCAAAGTATCTATAAGAAAGAAATCTATTTGGGGATAAAAACTTGAGCCTCAACCACTCCAAGTGAATGAGTTTTGGCATTTAATCATTCATGGATCAGGAGAGCTGATGTCTAACAGTGAGAACAACAACAAATAATGGGTGGCAATATTCCTGCACAAAAAGCATGTGGCCAGCCTCAGTCTCCAACAAGGGCTCTGGAACCTGGACGTCAGTGTTAGATGAGGCATGAAAGCAAAGGAAGGAAGCAGAGTTGGGAGTAGGGCTGCTCACCAGATGCCAGTGACATGAGCTGGTTCAGCCTTTCCTAGATTCCCCTCTTCAGTGTCTCTGATCATTGCATCCCAGAGCCTAGTGTCATGTCTGAGACATAACGAGTCCTCAGTATGTGCCTGTTGAATACATAGTTAATACAGAGTGACATTCTTATACTGTCCCCTCAAGATCTGCTGAGCAAGGAGATAGTTGACTCTAAAACCAGAGTTGCACAGATTGCCTCATGACTGGATTGGTGCACAGCTTGAGGAAAGGGGGAAGAGAGAGGGGGCGTAACAAGTCACTGAAAAGCCATATTTCTGGTGTTTCTCACTGATGCAGAGGGAACAAGGTAGTGATTTGTTGGATCCACCACTAGATGGATCAGAATAGAAAAGGGAAAGAGCCAATTGGTTTATTGCTTAGAAAAGAGCCTCTCAGCCCTGGCTGCATAGTAATTTGTAGAATTTTAAAAGAGAGAGAGAGAGAGAGAGAGAGAGAGAGGCCATGCTTGAGCCCACACAGACCACTGGACTTGGACTCCACCAAGATGACCGCCAAGAGAGTCAACAAAGCAAGAGCTCAGGGTGAAGCCTTTGGCCTCACTGAAGCCTTGGCTGCACCTGACCAGGTAAGTTTTCTGGGGGTTGGAGCAGTGGTCAGAGCCATTCCCCACAGCACACCTGAGAGAGGAAGTCACTGTGGAATACAAAGACACCCCAGTGTCGTGTTCCCCCAAACCCAATCACCACCTCTTAAGTCAGAAAGGGAGATGTGGAAGGCAGTGGTTCCCATGCTAGCACGTGAGATGCGCCTTGCAGTTAGGAGGCTGAGTTGACTGATGTTGTGCCATGACTCCATTTGTTTTACTAGCTAGAAGCTGACAAGATCCCACTATGCAAAAATGAGTCCTTCATGGGCATTTTTCCTCCATAGGTATGGTGACATTCTTTCCACCTGTGATTCTGTGCCATTTGGGAGAGTTTAAAGCATGGAAATGAAAACTCAACTTACCTCCCATCTCATCTGTCCAGCTCTGCCCACTCCACAATGCTGGGCATTCATACAGCTCCTGAGTCTCAAATGTAACCCTTGTTAAAGCTGATTCTTTTCACTGCTTGTGGAGTGAGGGAGATAGGCAGTGACTTCTATTTCATAAGTAATTGATTGATACTTTGGATACTTCCAAGCTCCTACTATATATGGGCAGTGGGGCTGTAATGCTGAAGAAGATGGACTTCCTGCTGTCAAAAGACCCCAGGGCAGAGGAATGATCTGGGTCAGTCAACATAAGGTTGGGACACAATTAATGTGGGCAGTGCAGTCATTTCTTCCCTATTGAGAGAGTCTCAATCTTAAGGGCCAGTTAAGAAACTCATGGGTGAAGCAGCATATGTCTGTTGTCTTTGTCATCTTCCTAAGCTGCCCCCACAAGCTAGGTAGGGGTGCAGTGCCAATTCCTAGTGACCCAAATGCATTTTATCAGGGAGGACTCTTTGTTGAAGGTCTGGAAGCTGTTACATGCTTGTCTCTGTCATTTGCCTGGGAAGCAGCAATGACCTTCATTTCCTCTACCCATCGGCTCATCCTTACTAATTCTCCAAGTGTGCTAAGGCTGGGCCCCAGGTCTTTTGTGCTCAACTTTGATGGGTAAAAACAAGAAAAACTGTTTTTGTCTTTTTCTTTTTGGGGCTCCAAGTTTAAATTCTTTTATTTTTCTTTTTAAATTTCAGATTAATATGACAGTACAAATGATTAGGTTACAATGTTTGCATTTGTTAAAGTCCCTGCTATAATTGTTTCCCACACCCAGGAAGTGTGCCATATACCCTTACACTGTGCCCATTAGGTGGGAGCGCACCAATCCTCCTCCCACTTCTCCTGTTTCCCTTCCCTCCTCCTCCCTCCCCCGAGTTGAATGAATGGAGGCTTCTCTCATGGGCGTGTATTAGTTCATCTACTGGCTTCATGTTAGTATTGAGTACATTGGATATTTGCTTTTTCATTCTTGTGACAAGTTTAAATTCTTCTTTGCGGAAAGCTCTACCTCCCCCACCTTCCCAAACTCTCTAGTAGGTCTCTTGGTTGCATATAAGGAAAGCAAACATTTGCTCTGAGAAGGGAGCAAGCTGCATACAGAGGTACACAGAGACCAGGATAAGCTAAGCAGCTTTGCACAATGATGTCAAAGGCTATCTTCCTAGGTAGAATTTTATGTTTGCAGGTTATATTTACTTATTTAAAAAAATTACTTCTTTGGGGGCTTGGGAGAGTAGAGGTCTGCTCAAGGGAAGTAAACTGTTCCCAGAAACACAGTGGCAGGTTGAGGGCCCCTGCAGAAGTCTTTGCGTCTGGGAGAGCTGTCCTCCTATGCAATCAAAGCTTGTGTCAGTCAGGGTCTCAACAGAAAACATAGGTCAT